AGTCCGGGCAACCTGGCAGGTCTGGCCACGCCCACTCAGCAAGTACCATCCATATCCGGCTGTATTACAAATAGTTACTGAAATGAGATTACTCAATAACTAACTAGTAGTATATCATAACTTGAAACTGAAGATATGTAATTATAGTTACTATCAAACACTGACTCATTAGTTAAAGTGATTGTCTGGAGTTTGTCAGAAAGAGAGAGAGAGGTACTTGATTTGAAAAAAACGACGCAAGCTCCCTCCCCCTTCCTTTCTGATTGGTCTACACCTACGTTTCCGTAACACTTTGAAATGTTAATCAGAGAACACATTATACATATACATTATTAATACACATGCACAGAGGTTTTCAGAATTATTTGTGAACGTTTTAATGAAAAGAATAATGTTTTTATGCACAAAAAAAGCGATCGCGGCAAACCAGGAAGTGCTATTATCATGAATTGCACATTATAGGACACATCTGCAGAGGATCTGATTATGGATATAGGTTCAGAATATACATAAGTACCTCAGAGCGGATGATCAGAATTCTTTGTTCAGTTTTCATGTAGTTCCAGAGCCTAATAGAGGCTTGATTCGGAGGCTCCGCGAAAACAAACAACTGAGCGTGCGCGCAGCTGCGAGCATCAGCGCCGATGATTGACATCACTTGGCATGACTCGATTGGTTAACCTCGACGGCACCGTGGATTCTGAGCTATAGCTAAGAGCAGGGAAGGCGGGACTTGCCCGTAATATTAGAATTAATAAAATGACTAATTTTATATCAACATTTAAGGCCAGGAGGTCAATTTAGCACATTTCCTAAAATTTGTAATTCATTTAGAGTTACAGACTTTCACTTTAATTGCAGAATGTCCTGTGTCTCTGGCCTGTGGTCCTAGGTCCCTCTGGTTTCTGGTCTGTCTGCTCCCAGGATCCTGGTCTCTCTGGCTACTTGAGTCTCTGATGACTGGTCCGTGGTCCAGCTCCTGCTCCTTAATCAAGATGTGTTTTTTTTTTTTTCAGATCATGTACAACACAAATGCACCAAACAAAAGAACAAACATTGCACACACATGTTCTAAAAATGGGTTGGATAGAGCAGTTGAGTAGAAACTCGTCACTCATTGAACACAGATTGATGTTCAGTAAAACTCATTTTAATCCATGCAAAGATTATGAAATGCATTATATTTGATATTTTGTATATGTAATTGATAAACATTCCTAATATGTATTTTTCTATATAATATTCTTTTTAATTTTATCCTCTAACCCTTTTCCCCTGCTCCTGCGTGAGCCTGACAGTGCCCTGTGATCTGAATGCTAAATTAGAAACAGACATTGCAGATCCAATCACAGCGGCTGCCACGCTGCCCTAATGTCTGTGTTGTAAGTTGATTTATGTGAAGTTAGAGGCGTCTGATAAATATGCATGTGCTGCATGAATGGATCAGCCTCACAGAGACAAGCACCGGTGCTTTTCTCCGGGCAGTTTTTTGGTGCATCTCCAGTGTGAGCCAATTCATCATGAGCTCATTTGGTTTAAACGACACCTATTATGCAAAATTATATATTTACTACCATATTACAACATCGTTCCTCATCCAAAACAGACCTGGAGTTGCTTTAACTCCAGTCACACTCACAAACACATCGACCCGGCCCCTCGGTCTAAATGCTCTCATCTCATACAAGTCATGTTCAGTATTCTGCCTTAAAACAATAGCATTGCCTCAACATTCTTTACAACTGCGTGTCTTCAATTAGGCCATGGCTTGATTCAAGAGTCTCTACGGCTCCGGATCCATAACAAAACCGTTTACCATTTTTAGGAAGTTACTTAATTTTAATAAATAAATGACATCCTCAAAATATCTTCAGAACGTTTACAGCAAAATACCAATAGATGCTAAATGTGTGCTCTAAACAAACATTACACAGAAACACTTGGGCTAACTTCCATGCTAACTGCTCTATGTTTAGCATTGAGGTGATACTCCATGCACTGCGATGTTATGCAAACTCAACCATGTTCTTATCAACGGTTCCAATTGTTCATTTTAACAACATTTCCCATCCACAGGGCCAACACATGCAGTCAGCTTTCTGTTCACTGTCAAAAGTCGGCTCAATGTGTCAATGCTGAGGGGGGTGTATTTTTTGGACCACTCTAGTTTAGCCTCTGTGGACTTCAGAAGTCACCCGTCAAATTAAGGTGAAAGTGGTGGCACATTAGTTCCAACGGCAGATAAAGGTGTGATTATTATGTTAATATTTACTGTTTATGGTAGAAGCTAGCGGTGCACCAGTATAATTGGTCCCATGTATCTGCACGTATCCCATGAAAAAAAGGTTCCTCATTAATGTGTTTCAAAAAACTTGTTAAATTTATAATCTTGATTCATACGTTCACATTCACTTCCACAATAGTTTGGAGCATTATGAGATCATCCTGGGTTCCGATTGTTAGTCTTGGTTTCAAAGCAGGGCTGATGTTTGCAGCGGGGCCCTTTCATGTTCAGCCCATCTCTCCCTGTGGCCCCCTGTTTACCAGTGTGTCCTGAGACTGAACATGTTCTAAACACGTAAACAACAAACACAGATCATTGACATTGTACAGAAAATACACTTTATTCATCCACAAATATGCACTTTTGTTTTGCAGCCAAACCGAGTCTGCTTGGAACACATCACTTCTGGACGGCAGATGGATCTTGGTGAATGAAAAAGAATATTGCTTCCACGATTCTCAGCTTTCCCATAGCCGTGTTTAGAGTATGTCAGTGTGAGGTCTGCATGTCACTATCATTCCTTATACCCACATGAAGAGATTCTGTATGAATGTACGGGAATTATTGGTTGTTATGGTTATTTGTTTGAAAGCTAAACTAGAGCTGCTAAAATAGAGCTTTCCACTCCAGTCCCAGAGCACAGAGTGTGGAGTCTCATTACTTAAGTCAACCATGGATTTCAGTAAAACCTATTGTTTGGAGTCCACTCATAGTAAAGTGATTATGCCGTAATGTTAATCGTACAAGATTAAAGATACAATTAACGTTTTATGAAGATACTATTCAAATACAGAATCTCTACGTTTTGAGAACGTGTCAAAAAAAAAAAGGTTTTCCTCCAGCCACAATCTTCAACCTGTTTCGTTATTGGCAGTAAATATGAAAGGAATTACTCAAGAAGGAGTGACACTTTATTTGTATGGCACTAAAAAAGATCAGGCGGTTTAAGAAGCTATCCTTTCCTATAATCCTTTCAAATATTTTCTAATGGCACTTATCTGTTTTTGCAAACTACTACATTTTCTGTTACACGTGAGACATGGAACAAGTCCACAGATGCGTAATAAAATCTATTCTGTGATGTCATCATTTGCAACAAGGAAGTTTCTCCGTTTGCGAATGTAAAAACAAATCTTATAAGCCACACATGAAATAGAAAAATGGATTCCTCAAAAAGAGTACGCGGAATTTTGACCCCTATCAAAATATGACTTTTGTTCATTCTCAAATACAATCTGACATATCCACTGTATGCAATTTTACCACTGTGGGACAAATAAAGGATCACTTTATCTTAGTAATATATGACATCATAATCAGTTAAGCGCTTTAAAGCTGAGGTACCAAACTTTAAAACCACGACAAATTTAACAATGCAATAGAAAACATCCTGGTTCAGAAACAGTTGAGCATGGACATAATGTATCAGTGCTTTTGGCCCATTCTTCTGTAGAATGGGCCACAGCCTGCACAGCCTATGTCCCAGGGGTCTCCAACCTTTTTCCTTTGAGAGCTACTTTTTCGGGACAACACTTGTAGAGAGCTACTTCTTTTAGACAGTCGACAAAATGTTGTGCTACAATGAATGTAGTTGTTTTATCTTGATTCATTAAAACAAAGGAACAACCATCTTTAGTCCTGTTTCCAGCACAGATATAGCAAATGTATTTTGTGTTCAATTGTAAAATCTTGTTTTAAGGCAGTCAAAATGGCATTTTTTTGGTGTGTAGTGTTATACCCATAAAATAATCTATAGTAATCATTTTTATAATTAGTCATAGAATAATCTTATGGAGAGCTACTTTGAAGAGGGTGGCGAGCTACTTCTAGCTCCCGAGTTATAGGTTGGAGACCCCTTATCTAAATGCTGGCTCATTATTGACTTGGACAAAAGGGAGCTGAAAACTGGCATCAAGTCAAAAAGAAGACATAAATGTCCGCACTCTCTAGCCCCTTAACCTAACATTACATACATTTTTTATGATTTTGATGTTGATGATGATATTATAAAGCTAAAAATATTCTGCATACTAAGACATGAATTTGGAAGACATGATAATATGGCCGAATTAGATGTGACAGCACTGAGAACTGTATGAACAAATAGAGTATCACCTGGACGAAACAGAAGACGACACCAAAGACACTGGACACAACAGAACAGTTTTCTGCATAAGAAGTGACACTGTACACCACTGCCATGCATTGCATCAGAGCGGGACATCTTTGCACAAAATATAGCCCCAGTTTTTCAACACTCACAACTCCAGGTCCGGCATTTTGGTTCAAAAATGGCTCCACAGTGAAAATGATGCTCTGTTTTGTATAGGTCCATCCAAACCACAGTCGGAATGGCCAACGTGCAGAAGTCTGTCAAGCCAAACATTAGCAAACAATGGCCACTCAGCTCGTGACAGACTTGGCTCCGCGCTCTGTCTCATACTCCTCTGATTGCATAAACAAATTCCACTTAGGAGCGAAACATCCCAAAGCGAGTTTGGAAGATCTCGAACAAATTGCATTGCAGAATTACCCCTTCATCGTTTGCATATTTCAAACTTAACAATATGAAAAATGGACTTTACTCCAAATACTCCATTACTGAATGCCTATGTTCAAGGCAACAGTTGACCCACAATGCCAGTCACAAAAAATGTATAAATTGGCAATGGGTTCACTCAGGCAGTTCGATGGGCATTACGACATACTCCAAACTTCATTGGAAAGGTCCTGATCCGAAACTTTTATCCCACTGCGAACACTGACTCTCCAACTGATCTAACAATTTCTCCACAGAGTCCTCCTTATTCTCCAATTTCAGATACCGCCTCCCAATTCCCAAGTCCAGTCGGGGCCAGCTCTGGTGTGTGAAATCCTCTGACATCTTCTCTGTAATTTGTCCGGGGATGCTTACACATACGGACTGCGAACCATGCGCCATCTGCCGGCCCTCGCCATCCACCACTTCTTTGCGGAAATGGACGGGGTGTTTGTGGGGGTTAGTCCTGTAGCTCAGACTGTGGCACCGTCTGGGCAGAGCTCGCGGGACCTCCACGCTCTCGTCCACCCCCAATGTCGACATAGAACTCGCCGAAACAAGACAGCTGTTGACTTTGACCAACGGGATGGAGCGTATGGGTTTGGGCAAAGAACTATCCGAAGAGGGTTTCGCAAGCTCTGTCTGGATGGAGGTGCAAGAGTTGGAAGAGCTGGAAGAGTTTGACAATTTGAGAGAAGGTGTTGATTGCGACTCTTGGTGGTGGAGGGCTTGCGTCTGCATCGCGGCTTGGTGGTAGTCCCGCTCGCCTGACGATTGCGTGAGTAGAACTGGTTCGGAGCAAGCCAGCTGCGACACACAGAGGATGTTGAGGTGCGCGGCCGGAAGGCTGCTGACCCATTGGTAGTGCTTGGTCATGGAGTTGGTTACGGCCATGTCTTGGAGGTCGGCGGAGGGGACGGCGGCCGACACGGAGCAGATGACGCTCCTCATCTGGGCCAGGAGCATCTGCGTCTCCCGGTCGCGGTTCTCGTACAGGACGGTGTTGGCGCAAATGAGAATGAAGAGGCCGACTCCCATGATGACTGGACCCAGGAGCTTCATTCGGTCGCTGTGCACCAGGTTGGCTGCAAGTAAACAAAAGCAGGATTTTAAAAAATAAATAAAAAAACTCTCATCCAACACAGTAGAGGAGACACAATCACATAGAATTCATTCAAGGCTATATCTAGCTATCTAGCTTTGTATCTAACTTTGAAATTACAAAAAATATCTCTGTGATGAAATCCATGTCCATAGATCCCTTCCAGAGCTGGCAGAGAGCTACTTCTTTTAAACAGTCAACAAAATGGATTAGGTAATTTTCATCTTGATTTAAAAACATTTTTTACATTTCTTAAAACAACAACCATCTTTAGTCCTATTTCCAGCTAAGATATTGCAAATGTATTAGGTGTTCTACAGGTAAATAAAAAAATAATAGTAGTGTGATACCCATTAACCATTCTATTTAACTCATAGTTAAATTGTGCTTTGGGGAGATACTTTGAAGAGGGTGACGAGTTCCTGGTAGCTCTCGAGCTATAAGTTGAAGACCCCTGCCCTAGATCCTTTTTCTCAAAAAGCTTTGGTTTTATCACTACTTTCATAAGCACCGTACTCTCGTTTTCTGTAAAAAAAAAAAAAAAAACGAAAAACAACCCTTACTCAGCTAATCAGCTCTCAGTATGTATTCAACTCAACTCAATTCATTTTATTCTTGTATTCATTTTATAACAGTAGTTATCTCAGAGGACTTAAATTGTTGAAATCGCCAACACAGATCAGAGAATCAAACAGTTCAAACATAACAAATATAGAACACATAGGTGTTGGTTCATAGGGAGCTGACAAATGTCCTTGAATGTTGTAGAAGGTTAGTGTGTCCTGGATCATCACCACACTCCTTTTTGTTAGACCCACTAACAGTCTAAGAGACCCTCCTGCATTGACAAGGAAAAAGTCTAAGTTATGTTGTCTGATTTGTTCAAAAAAAGTTAAGAAGACCTTAAGCAGCAACGCCCTATTTAGATAATATAAAACATCTATGGTCTTTGTCAAGTCGGTCTCCATGAGCTCTACTCCTCTGTCCACTTGTGCCCAGTTCCCTTTATCTCCCTGTTGTCTCAGTCCTTCAGTCGGTGCATTCCAGTGTGGTGTCAGATAAAAGCAACCTTGGTCTTAGTCCTGCTGTCCGCGGCCTTAGAAACTGTTCCCCTTTGGAGTCGCACATGAAACAGAATGTTAATGTCAGAGAAAGCTGGAGCAGAGAAGGTGAAGTCTCAGGTCTGGGTCAAAGTGAGGGAACGGTGGAGCGTGAGATAGACAGAAAGAAAACTTAGACTGGGCTATCTGGATTCAAATTTAACACATTTTTTTCCTCCAATATTCTTAATCTCGATTTCCATTTTTTGTTACTATAGTTCAATTACAAACAAATAACAAAAACTTCTAAAACTGTGGATAATATTGAGGCCAATCCCAGTCCAAGTCAAAAATCTTGGACTCATCTTCCAGATAAAATGATATGGGGGAGTTGTATTCGAGGCGCTTAGAATTAAACGTTCCTTGAATATTAAGAATAATTGAGTGTATACGGGAACTATTACTACGTTTTTTTAACTACTTTTTCTGAGAACTGTTTACTATAATTCCTCAATTTGAAACCCAAATCTCTGTACTCTCTGTTACTTTGCAGATGGCGACACAACAAAGAAACAGGTGATTAGCCGTGCTTCTGTGTTGAAATATCCGTTTGGGGGCATAACAGTTTCAAAGTCGACGCTTTAAATATCTCAAATAATCATATGCAACAACAAGAAACGACTCAAAAACTATTTCTCACTTAGCCTGGCCATAGCCATCCGTACTTTTGAGTCGTTTCTTGCCGATGCAGGAGGGTCTAAGGACTGTGATGATCCAATTGTGGACATTTATTAACATTCACACATGCGTGTCACGCTCGACACGCATCATAGTTTTAGCGTCTGCCTTTTGGCCAATCAGTGTCAAAGGAGGGCGTAGGCTTTGTCACATCCAGGGCTTAATGTTGACAAGCACCCGCCTTATCATGGCAGAGGCCCGACTGTCAGAATGTTTTAAAGACTCAGAATTAGAGAGCCCATCCCGTTCAACTCAGAAACGTTCAGGAAAGAAACAAAAGCGGCCACTGGTCCACGTTCTGTAGCTAGCTTAGGTCCTGGATCATTAGCCTGTCCGTCCGGAGGAGCGGATCCCTTTCTCAAATGGGTCTCCCTCCCTGTGGGTTTCCCTAGTTCTCCCCAAGGTTTCTCACTTTTTCCCACTGGGTTTTTTAAGAGTTGTTCCTTGTCGATGCAGGAGGGTCTTGTTGTACAGTTAGTGTCCAACAGAAAGGATTGGTGATGATCAGGACACTTTAGCATTCTACAACATGTATGGACATTTTCTTCTGTGTGTGCTTTATATTCTCCATGTGTTTTAACTGTTGATTCTCTGACCTGTGTTGGTGATTTCAATGGTTTTGTTAAGTCTCTGAGATGACTTCTGTTGTGACCTAGGGCTATACAAGAATACATTGTAGTGTATTGCACAGAAGAACATACGAGAGTGGGAAGCACAACATGGATAGAGAGTGTGTACGGCAAATGCTACCAAGCCAACTGTACTTTTTGCCGTCGTGTGTTCTTTGTTTCTCACGGGTCTGTCAGATACAACAACATGCGACAGGAGAACAACATTTCCGCACCGCTAAGTCAAGAGCCAATCAGATCAACCACACTCAATTCTTCATCCCTGAAGCCTCACCAGAACAGATGGTGGAATGATTCTGACTTATTTGAATGAGTTTTGGCATGTTTGTGATACAAACAATATATAAATGGATAAAGAGTCATGTGTAAAATTTAAGTGAACAAGAAAAAAGTCCTTCACATTACTTAATCTGTCTTACATCCAATAATATCAATATGAACATTCTACAGAAATTGTTGAATGCGTAATGTAGCCATATATTTAGTATTGATACTTATTTTGTTTTCAAATAAAGCTTTATTTTTTATTTTTTAAATTAATTAATACTAAGCAAAAGCATATTGATAATCGATTGAGTGATATTGATATATTGTGACACTCCTAATTCAAAATGCGAAATCATTCACAAGAAAGTAGTTATTAATAATAGTTATTAAGGAATGATTCATTCTTGTTAGGCTATGGTCAAACTTCTAAATTATATATTTAATTCAAAGAATAGCCAAAGAAAATCACTTTTTAAACATTTTAACTCTTAACCAGTCAAAGAGTTGCACCTCTCAAAAAGGGTTGTGTAAAATATCTTCTAGAAAATAATGAAAAAGCAATAAAGTACTATTAAATAAATTAATTATTTTCTCTTCTTTAGGTCACAGCAGCAGAGCTGACACAGGTGTACCACACATAAACACAACCTCAGCTACTGCAGTGCTTAAATGTAGTCAATGAATTACGTTCTAAAAACTGTGATGATGAAATTCCTTGAGTCCTGTGTAGATTGAAATTAGGACACAATCCACCCAAAGGGTGTCCCTTATTTTTCTGTTCTCAAGTTGGCAACCCCATAACCAGGATAGCACACACCAGAGCTCTTCTTCAAATGTCTGTACATGTATTGGTCATCAGCCCTGCACGGACCAATAGCTCATATATGTTTGTTTGTATTGCATTTCTTGTGTATTTGATTCACTGATCCAACAGATTGTAGTCTCAATCTCTTTAATACATACAAGAGCTTGCACTTTAACTCAAGGGAAAGACTACTACTCATTACCTAATAATTACCTACTTATCAAGTACCTAAGACTATAGTACTTCAGTCACCACTGAAAAATACTACATTTACATGGCTTGCAATTAATGCAAAGGATTTAAAAATCCTATAATTAGGTATTTTATGTAACTAAAGTATAAACATCAATTAAATTCCATTTGATTGTTTTTTTTATATGTCATGGTTTAGGTTTATTTCCTGTTTTATTTTGTAGTTTGTTTAATCCCTGTGTTGTCTTTGGTTGTACTTCCTGTTTCCTGATTACCTGCCCCGCCCTCATGTCTGCCACCGGTGTCTCGTTAGTCTTGTATTCAGCCCTGTGTGTTCCTTCAGTCCCTGTTCAGTCATTGCCATTCCCATGTCTGTTTCAGTTCGGTCCTTGGTCCCTAATGTTTTCTCTGCATTTTTATTTGTATAAATTTTTATTAAATCTATTATTTTGCAGTTCTGCATTTTGGGCTCATTTCATTTTACCCATGTGACAGCAAAGCCCTAAATCAACAGCAGTTATCTCGCAGGACTTTACAAAGCTGACGATTCTATAACACAGAACCGAATTATCAAAGTGTTCAAACACAGGAAATGCAATGACGAAAAACACATAGAGCCATTGGTCCATAGGGGGCAGATGACCTACGTCCATAAATGTTCAATATTTGGTCTTCAAGTTGTAGGAAGAGAGAACAGCGAGTTTACTCCCTATAATGACAGTAATCAAACCAAATAGATCTACTGTTTGTGCTTCATGGTGGAATCTGCTCCTCTGTCTTTCAGAACTCACTGGTACTACAGCGTGTGAGCAGCCTCCCCCTCCAGGCCTGCGTTACACCAGGACCATGGGTGTTTAATAATGCATGTGAAGACGCACAATTATGCAAACTGGAAAATTATGTTTTGTGTAAGAAACAGAGCTGAGTAAATGAACCGCGTCTGAGTAAACTCGCCGCATTCAACGCGACGTTTGCTCCGAAAGCGGTGGATATGTTCACTTTATGTTCTCTTGGTGAATGTTGTGATTTCCTGAGATAAGGATGTGATGCACCTTTGATCCATGCGGTTATTTGTAGGAATATCTCCAAAATCTCCTGTTCGGCCCGTGGCACGTTGTGGAAATGCAGCTGTATTTCTTTAAATACACTCTAACTTTCCTGTTGGTGCACCCCGGGGAAGACACACACAAATAAAAGAGTAAAATCAAACGTTAACTTTCTAAATCTGTCTCCTAACATCACAGCGAAGTGCACCCAGGACCAGAGGGAATCGCATTCAAACAGACATCTTTTTTTACGAGGACAACTTCAA